TGAACGACAGTTTCCAGATGTTTGTGGGAGAGGAACAGCTTCATCCTGGCTATTCTCCTAAGGTGGGAGCAGCAAGATCTGACAGTTCTGTTGACCTGGTTGTCCAGTTGGAGCTCCATATTCAAACTAGACTGCTTACAACTCTGTCTCTAACTCGTCTCTCACAGGCAGGGGTGGACTGGCCTATCTGGCATTCTGGCAGTGTCCCGGTGGGCCGCTTAGCCAAGTGGGCTGCTTGCCCAGCTTGGGCCGACACTACTCCACAGTTGATCTGCAGAACATTAGCTACATGGTAACCCGAAGCTTACAGAGTTTTTTCAGGTGTTTTTAGCAAGAAAAACACGGTAGAGCGATGACGTAGGAGTTGTTTTACCGCGTTAGCATGTAGCTAGTGTCCCGCTGATCTCCGCCCGTGGAGAATGAGCTGATCTGGAAGGCCAGAGCTCCCGGTCGCAGCGGTCTGGCCCTGCCTGTAATTTAACAGTCCCAGTCCATATTAGATCTCACATTCAGCCTTGAGACGAGTATGTGGGTGGCAACACCCCCCACCCTCACCGCTCTCCCAATGGGGAGGGCCGAAGATTCGTAAAAATGCCAGGGCCGAATTTTGGTCCCAGTCCACCCCTGCTCACAGGTCTGACTCGCACAAATCAAGAACTCCACAAACCCATCATAACTAAGGGACATTTGTTTAGGATGACCATGAGCAGAACAACAAAGCAAACTGGAAACCACCAGCCAGGCGGAACCAAAAGGAATGGGTCTTAAAGTCATGGGACAGAAAACCTGATGAAGGACCGGAATTAGAACCGTGCAGATCTGAGAACGCTCTGATTAGAACTGAAAACAAGGACTTTATGAACTAATGAAGATTATTTTACACGTGGATTTAGTCATTCGTTTATTATTCTGTCATCCACACTAAAGTCCGCACGATGTGAGCGAGTGAAACCGAGCCAAAGTGAAATTATAATCCAATCATCCAATCTTACTTCCATCTATTTATCCATCCATCATCACACTTCTATGATACGAAGAGATGTTCATAAATCTCTTCAATGTGAATATTTTTAAGAAAAATAAAATAAAAAACATTTCACTAATTTTTGTGCAGCAATTTTATCATAAGCACAATTTTTACCAACGTTCACAACTACGTTCTCCAGACCCTGACCTCTGACCCCCGATCCTGTACCATTAGTAAAGCTTTAGGGAGACTGGTGTTACTGATCCCCCCTCCAACACTCACTCACTCACTCACTCACTCACTCACTCACAAGTCTAGCATTCGTTGTGAGGACCAGGGGCGGCGTTAGGCCCGGCTACTTGGGCTGAAGCCCCGGATGTTTTATGAAAAGCCCCGGATCTCAAACGTGGAAGTACCATGCAGTACCAAAGTCCAACAGAGAGGGAGCAGCTGGCAGTAGTTTGTATACAGCCTGCCTGAGCCTCCACCACTGAAGAAGAAGCCCTTCAGCAGCCGGCTTCTTCTACACTCTCTGCCTGAAACGTATGAGTGAAGATGGACGTAAGGACGTTTTTTAGACAAAAGCACAACGACAGAACCCCAGCTTTGATTATACTGGTGTTGACTCAGGTTTGTGATTCTTATTTGAAAATATTTGTGATTTGTAAAATATATGATGTTGACTAGAGCGTGTCACGTGTGTGTGTGAGTGTGTGTGTGCGCGCACGCGTGTGTTAAGCCCCGGATCTTCTTCAGTCCTAAATCCGCCCCTGGTGAGGACCTTCATTGACTTCTATTAATTTTAGTGACTGAACTGTCCCTAACCTTACCTAATTTTTTAACTCACACCATACCGGTACAACTAACCAGTAGAGTCTGTAACGCTGTCCCAAAGAGAGGACCAGCAAAATGTCCTCACTTCGGTACTAATGTCCTCAGTTTGCAGGTAAAACACTTGTTTTTGTCCTCCCTTTGATGTATAGACTGGTACCCCCCCCCCCCCCCCCCCCCCAAACATAAACAGGTGTAACCATCATCCTGTCCCTGGGAGTAGGTTCAGGTTTCATGACCAGGTAACCCAGATCTCTCTCTCTCTCTCTCTCTCTCTCTCTCTCTCTCTCTCTCTCTCTCTCTCTCTCTCTCTCTCTCTCTCTCTCTCTCTCTCTCTCTCTCTCTCTCTCTCTCTCTCTCTCTCTCTCTCTCTCTCTCTCTCTCTCTCTCTCTCTCTCTCTCTCTCTCTCTCTCTCTCTCTCTCTCTCTCTCTCTCTCTCTCTCTCTCTCTCTCTCTCTCTCTCTCTCTCTCTCTCTCTCTCCTTACCTGTTGTTCGATCTTCACTTGTTCTATTTGACAACATCATCTAAATTAAGTGAAATGTGATAAGACTGACTGAACTCGTGTTTGACCAAATATGAACATTTGATGGCAGACATTGTCAGCACTTCTGCTTCATTGGTTTCAGATTATGTATCAAAGGACCCAGAACCCAAAGGGTCTGTTCTAAACCTTTTTCTGTTCCTACGTGAAGCAGAATCCCGCATGGATCTGGATCCATCTTCCTTCGTTCTGGTCAAATACAATCCATCCCTAAACGTTTTCCATCCGTTTGCTTTGAAGCTCCGTCCTGTCAGACGTGGAGTCGAGACGACCTCCTCCATCCTTATGGATTCACTGTGGATGCTGCACATAAAAACCATCATCCTGCAGGTTTCCTCTGCTTCAACACAGCTGATGTACGTGAAACATCAAAAAGATGAAGGCAGCAGGTCCAGAGGACCAAGACTAGGAGAATAGACGGGATGTTTTTATACGATCAGATCTAAACATTGATTTTATTCTTAAACGTACAGTCCCAATCAAACGTTTAACACCACTAGAAAAAATGGCCCAAATCATAGTTTGCTTGGCTGGATCTTAACAAGGTTCCAAGTAGAGCTTCAGCTTGCGACAAGAAAAATGGGAGAGAGAAAAACTTTTTCTTAGCCTTTATTGAAAAAAACAGAAAAAGAGGTCTGAGGAACTTTTCTGAAGCTATACCTGAATCAATCAACTGAAGAGCACCACAGCTTTTTATACTGGTTCACACCCAGAAGCACTCCGAGCATTTATGCTGTTTTGATATAATGCTTAAGCTGAAACTGGCTGTTTTACCGCTTATCAAATGTTTAAAAACACAGATCCAAAATACCCCGTACACCCCCAAACAAAAACCAAAACTCCAAACACCAGCTCAGTAATGAGGACTCCACCGTTTTTGTTGATCACTTAAAATTTTGTTGTGGCATTCTTGATGCAAGAGTTTTGATGAGGTGAGTGTTGCAGACGACCACACGATGGACATCTCCTTCTTGGAAGTGCACACCATTTTTGTAAGCATCCCTTGCCATCCACTCTCAAAGACTAACCCCGGCTTTCCACCGGAGCTGTCAGCAGCACTCAACTGCAGCAGCACGTCATAGCTGCTGATAGGAACCGCTGTGGTCAACAGAACCTTTTCCACCGGAGCCGTCAGCAGCGCGAGTCGGCCGCGTCTCAGGAGCAGCAGGTCGCGGCCATTTACGCTCCGGTTCTATTTTCTACGCGCGACGCCTCTGAAACGGGTCAAGTTCGACATTTTTGGGGAAGGAAAGACAGGAAATCGGACGCGGAAATGGAGAGAAGCTCCGGAAATTTTCAGAATAAAGAACGTACTGCCTTCCGGCTGCTTTACTTTAAAAAAGGTCAGTAACTGTGCGGCCCCGTGAGAAGTTATCACCTAGCTAGCGGTCTCCTTTGTTTTTCAGGTCCGTATTGGCGATTATAAAACGGACAGAACATAAAACACAAACCATGTTGTAGTTTTCTCCTGCTTGTTGTTGTGTTTACTGACGAAGTCACTCGTGTGACTTCGTGCTCTGTCGGTGACAGCTGCTCCCCTGCTGCTTCGCGTCTCGTAGGAAGGGCCAAGCAGCAGCTCACGCGAGCAAGACGTGCTGCTGACGGCTCCGGTGGAAAGAAGGGGTGAGAGTCCAAACAGTGATGTTATTCTCCTGGAAGAAGTCCGTTGTCTTGTTGGAAAACCCAGTGGTAACCACTCAGACCCGGCCCCTCAGTCATACGGGATGCTCTCTGCAACATCTGGACACTGCCAGCGGCCGTTTGACGCCCCTGCACCCCAGACCATCATGGCGCCCCTCCACTGTGGCACTTAGAGAACATCTCAGGTGGGATCTGCTTGTCAGTAATGTTGGAAACCATCAGGAATATCAAGGTTTAATTTCTTCTCATCAGTGAATTAAACTTTCTTCTACTTTTCATCGTTGCATGTTTGATGCTCTCTTGCAAAGTCCAAATGGTCATTTCCGTGGCGCTCAAGAAGACGAGGCCTTTGAAGACATTTTTGTTTTTGAAGCCCTTCAGTCTCAGATGCCGTCTGATGGTTATGAGGCTACAGTCAGCACCAGTAACAATCTAGAGTTGGGTTGAGGAACATCCAGGGTCTTGACGGACAGCCAACTGGATCCTCCAGCTTAGTGCTGGTGACACTTTTTGGGGTCTTCCACTTCTTCTTCCATAACCTTCAGAATCATGTATGAAATCCCAAATGTCTTAATGCAGCTCAACAACCCGATCACATTCAAACATGGAACGTTTTTTTGTCTTGGTCATCAGAACGTCGCTACAGAAAACGACAATGAATCCACATTTTTGTACAGATTTCACCTTTGTCATGTGATCTTGAAATGCTCAGAAAATGTTTTGTCTCTCTCCAATTTCTTCTTCTTGCACGTTGAAGCTCTACTTGGAACCTTATTAATATCCAACCAAGCAAACTGTGATTTTTGGCCATTATGTGGTCTTAATCTTTTGATCGGGACTGCTTTTTTAGGATCTATACTGACTCATAGTTTGTTTAAAGACCTCCAGACTCAAGCTGAAACTAAACTGGATCTTATTTTGAGCTGAACCCACCTTCAACGCTGCAGAACCTTTAGAACTCAATCCTTTAAATAGCTTATTTTCAATTGGAGAATGTGGGTTACAGCTGATTTGTACCGTTAGCACAGGGACTGCTGCTGCATCTGTCAATTCTCTTCTCGCAGTTGGAGCCCATGAAGCCAGAGGGGCAGCGACAGCTGTACCCGTCGGTGTCCGTCTCCACGCAGGTTCCTCCGTTAAAACACGGCCCGTCTGCACACGTCATGGCGCTGATCTCGCAGTTCTTCCCATGGAAGCCCTGAGGGCATGCACACACATAACTGTTCACCAAATCCTGAAGGGAGAGCGGGAGGAGAGAACACATCATGGAGAGAGTGTGAAAGTCTGAGATGAGCTGAGAACAACAAGAGCCTGTAGACAGGTGGAGTGAAACACCACGCTAATTATTTAGAAAGTACGTTTTGCTTTGTGGTAAAAGTTGCTTTTACCAGATGTGAGTGGTGGAAATAGAGGCAGGAATTTTAAAATTGGTAAATGGCCTGTAATTGATATAGCGCCTTCTAGAGTCCTGGAACCCCCCAAGGCGCTTTACAACACAATCAGTCATTCGCCCATTCACACACACATTCACACACTGGTGGTGATGAGCTACGGTGTAGCCACAGCTGCCCTGGGGCGCACTGACAGAGGCGAGGCTGCCGAGCACTGGCGCCACCGGTCCCTCCGACCACCACCAGCAGGCAACGTGGGTTAAGTGTCTTGCCCAAGGACACAACGACAGCGACAGACTGAGCGGGGGCTCGAACCTGCAACCTTCCGATTACGGGACGAGCACTTAACTCCTGTGCCTCCATCGCCCCAAGTTCAAATTTCACCAATTTTAACATGTATGCAATTCTAAGGGACAGGATGACAGACAAGAAGCTTGAATACAGGTGAAAAGGTCTTTATTTCAGTCAAATCAGATGTCTGACACATCTCTACTAAAAATCCTTGCTTTATAAATTTCATGTAATGTTCTAATTTCCCGAGATGTTGAATCTGGAGTTTTCATAAACAAGTGAAATATCTGGCTTTGCACGGAATTAGTCCGTCTCAGTTTCACCTTTTAGGTTGAATTACTGACACCGTATTCATATTTTTTAAATCCCACCTGTGACTATGTTCATGCATTGTTATTTTAGTTTCCTATTTTCTAATTTTGTTTGAAACAAATAAAAATAATAAAGTGCTATACAACCATAAATATGGACAATAAAACTGTGCATAAACAATAAAAAACCGATGGTAGTGAAATTATATAGTCCACGCTACATAAAAGCCACTCTGCAGAATCAAAGAATAAAAGTAGGTTTTCTACTTGAATTTAAAAACCACCACTGAAGAAAACTTCTGATAGAAAACAGAAGAACATTCCGAAGTTAAGTGGACACCACTGAGAAAAGCTCTGATCTTCCCGTAACTGCATCTGGTATTTTGGGACCCTTCTTCCGGCTCTTGGAGGGTGCAGACACTTTTCTTCTCCTCTCCTCCATATCTCATCCTCAAGGCCTTTGTCTGTCTGTGTGTGCTGGGTGCACGGCTGCTTCTGCATTTTTTCTGGAAACTGAAATTCACTAAAATTGATCTCGTCAGTTGGTCACTCAACACGATTGATAGCATTTTTTCAACGATGAGAACGGGAGAAGGGGCTCCCGGATGCCCCTCCGGGACAGACCAGCTGTCTGTGGAGGACTCTGAAGATGTGTGGATATTCGTGGTGTTGGTGTCGGTTTTCCTGCTGATCGGCATTGGAGGCTACCTTGCTTACCGGAAAATTAACGAGCTGTCGAGGAATACTGGCCTGATCCCGGAGCTCAGAGATGGTTTGCACCGCGCTGTGAATTCACAGCCTCACATAATTGTCGAGATGAATCGTAAGCTTGGAACTTTGGCAGAGATTCATTCATTGGCACAAAAGATGGATGCCATCAAGGAGAGAGTGGTCGAATCAGCACGGATTGGGATAGATTAATGTCCATTATTGGGATTCTGAGAGGGTGAGGACCAACAGACTGTAAGACAGAGAGGAAATTATCTCTTTCTGGCCTCAAAACAATTTCTATCTGAATCTGGCGCCCTTGAGCCTGCAAGTCTCCAAAGAAACCCCCCCCCCCCCCCCCCCCCAGAAGATATGTGGAATGTGCCGTCGCTATGGCAACTCAACTCTGTCTCCTTTGCCAGCCTGGGCGGGACTGCAGGAAGGCCGCTGAACCGTTCCAGGGTCACTGCAACCCTCCAACCCTCAATGCTCCTCCCCCCATCCACACTGAGGTGACATGCGCTGCTGGTAGTGGCTGCAGGAACTGAAGTGGGGATAGTCCCAACCCACCACCCCACCTAGTGGACACTTATGTTGTGTTGTCTGAAGTCTGTTGCATATCTGTGAGGTGTTTTTTTTTTTTTTTTTTGCAGAGCAAAGCTGCCCTCCTGGTGGAGGGTAACTGAAGTGCCTTTTTTCTTCCCTCCACCTGAACCAATCCTCATGTAACCCTCTCTCTATTAAGGTAGCGTGACACAGGGTTGCGAATGACCACAGTCACCAATTCTTGTCATGTGTCTTGCCCATGTATGTCTGATCTCTGAATTGTGTGTTCTGAAACTCTAATTTCCGTCTGGGATTAATAAAGTATCTTTGTTTGATTGATTGAAAAAAACGAAACAAAACAAAATAAACTATTGAATTAACAGGTAACCTAGGGCCAAACCGTTTAACACGTTTCCCCTACGCTGCAGGAGTTAAAGTTTACGTTACAGAGTAAAAGTTCGGCAGACGCGTTTGTTTATATCTGGGTGGGGGAGGGGGAACCAGGTGCTGCACACAGACAGCTGGTGTGATCAGCTCTGAAAATCGTTGTTTACAATTTGCAGATCACGTTTATTTTTCACGGAGATCGGCCGCGAATTCCTCTTCCGGTCGGCATTCTAGGAATCGAAATAAAAAACTTTGAACGATTCCAGGAAAAACTATCAGTTGGTCCCAGTTCTGATCGATGCTCGATGCCCAACCCTAATTGGGAGTATTCTCTGATCACTGTTCAGCAGAGTGTCAATGGGACAGATCACCATGTGCAACACTGCCCGTCTCTAAGGGCTGCCCAGCTATGACGAGCCCAGCCACTAGGACGTGTTCCCAGTTGTAAGGAATTGCCCTCTAACCATGCAGAGGTAGACTTTAGCCTGGTCAAGCTGTGCTGAGTGGGTATGAGTGGGGATGGGTACCTTTGACATTTGAATCGATTCGGTACTAATTCCCGGTACCTACGAATCGATACCGGTACTTAACGGTTTCAATTTTAGATACTTTTGAGTGTTTAATACTTTAATTCTCTTTTATAATTAAATATATATTTTTCTCAATATATAACCATATTTGATAAATATCATGATAAATAACATACAACTGTTTGTATTTTAACATCGTCCTTGTAGTTTTATAAGCTGATAATTAAACTGAAGCAAACATCTTTACTGTGAACTAAATTTACTGTGTATCTTCATTCCTTTTGCCATCCTTTTTCAATTGATTTTTCCTACTGGGAAGTTAGAATTTCCGAGGAGAAAGCGAACGCACCATTAGCTGATAACAATGGTGGCAATGGAAGCTAACATATCAAGCTAACGTTATCTTAAACAGTTTATTTAGCTGCTGGAGCAGATTAAAACGATGATGCCTCACACTTAGATCGTTGTCGCTGGTTTCATCTTCACCCAATCACCCGTCGCATTTAGTAAAGTGAAGCCAAACTTTAGAGCGCGTTCATGTTCTTCCAGTCGGAAATTCAGAGTTCCGAGGAGAAAGTGAACGCACCATTAGCGAAACGGAAGCTAACATATCAAGCTAACGTTATCTTAAACCTTTTATTTACCTACCGGAGCAGATTAAGATGAGGATGTCTCACTTAGATCGTTGTCGCTGGTTTCATCATCACCCAGTAACCCATCACATTTAGTGAAGTGGACCCAAGCTTTAGCGTGCGTTCTTTCTACCATGCTGCTCTGTTTACAACTCGCTCGCAGCGACCGACGACATAACGCTCTTGCGCATGCGCAGCTGTCTAGGCAAGTTCTCGTTATGAAGGACGGGTACCGAAACGAGGCACCGTTTCAAATGACGTGAATCGGTGCTCAGTCGGTACTATGGAATTCGGTCGGTACCTTAAAAAGTGCCGAATTCGGTATGAGTGGAAAAGGGACATTAGACCAACAACTTCTGAAGCTGGTTCTGATGTGAATGATAAATGTTTCAAATGGTCTCAGGTGTATCAGATGGTTCTGGTAACGTACTTTGCAGCTTCCGCCATTCTTGCAGGGGTTGCTGTCACACTCGTTGGTTTCCATCTCACAGTTTTTGCCGGAGTAGCCTGGTCGGCACGTGCAGGTGTAGCTTCCCTCACCTGTGTTGGTGCATGAGGCGCCATTCTGGCAGGGCTTGTGGTTGGTACAGTAGTTCAGGTCTGGAGGGGAAAAACAAAAGGAGGGAAAGGTGTTGGTGGAGAGATCAGAGCTGCGGGTGCACAGAAACCCGTCACCGAGTCACTAAAAGGACAAGAAACCAAACAGCAGAATCATTTTTACTGAAATACAAATAACATGTTTTACATGGAGGCAAATATGTTGTCTGCAAGTAAAGATAATTTCTCTCAGCAGAACTGGGACACACATAAAACACCTCATAATGCAATTATTGATGGCAGGGTGCTGCTTTGTGTCGTTGAGTGCAAAGATAAGTCGAACATGTTTATGTTTATGTGCTTAGCAGACGCTTTTACCCAAAGCGACTTACAATTATTTTTTTTTTTTTTTTTTTTTTTTTTTTTTTTACCTATAGGGCATGTTGTGATCTGTGGGGGAAACCGGAGTACTCGGAGAAAACCCACGCATGCATGGGGAGAACACGCAACTCCACGCAGAAAGGCCGCAGCAGAGTTTCGAACCTGCGACCTTCGTGTTGCGAGGCAACAGTGCTAACCACTGCGCCACCATGCAGCGAACATGAACTAGGAAGTAAAGAAAACAGAAATAAAAGTAAAAAGGAAAGAAAACTTTTCTTGGCCTCCAGTACAATCCAAGGGCTATTCAATGATTTAGAAACTGTCATGACTCCCATCCTTCACCCTCCTCTGCCTCCTCATTTCACCGTCATTCAGCTCACCTGGTCCCTTCACCAAGCTCCTGACAAGCCCTGTTTCCCTGGCAACCACAATCAACTCCATTCTTCTCACCTGTTCCTGTCATCAGCTTCATCCACTTCACCTGCTCCTGACTCCTCAGCTCATCTCACACACCTGCTTCCCCTGCTATAAAAGAGCCATCCAGCTATCCAGTCGCTGCCAGATTATTGTAAAGCTCACGCCAGTAAATTCTCCAGCACTCCTTACCTCTGCCTGAATCATTGATCCTGACCTTGTTCCTGTATCGCTACCTGCCCACGTGCCTGCTCCCTGCCTGGATTGTTCTCTGCTTCTGACCCCCTGGATTCTCGACCTTCGGACCATTCTCTGTATTCTGCCTCCTGCCTGTCCCTTGTAGCATTCACAGATCTCTCTGGTTTTCACCCATGCTTCCTCCTGACCCTGCCTCAGCCTCGCCCACCTCTGGTAACTCCACATAAAATAAAGACTTTTAAAGGTGCTTTACTGTGTTTGGCGTCATTACGGGTCCTTCTGAGTTCAGCCCTTGACAGAAACAGGAACTTAAAGAAGAAATGAAATAGTTTAACAGGACTGAGGTGATTGGTTTGATGCTGACTGTTAAAACAAATACAGATGAATCCCAGTCATCTGAAGGTGGTTCTGATGTTCTGAAGGGGCAAGTGAAGCGGTTTTGTTGTAGCAGAGTGTTCAGGATCAGACTCCGCTCCTCCAGGTCTACGGTCCAGGCTCTTGACCAGAGATGGAGTGACAGACCAGAGCTTTTTCTGCAATAACGGTGACACTAATTTGGTTTGTCAAAATAAAGAAGCTGCTACAGAGGTACGGGTCCCTCTGAGACTTTCTCATGATCAGGTTTAGATCTCGAAAGAACAAGATCCTGGGTTCAAGCAGTTGAAATGACTTTCCTCTATTGAGGCATGCCGCCATTGCTGCAACAGTGGGTGGTGCCATGATCACGTGGGGAGCTACGGCCGAGCTTTGGCTGAAAACTACATTGAAAATGGAAGTGAACCCAGTCAGTAAGTTTTGCTTTTGTAAACAGACTCAGCTGAGATGACAAACTGGAGCAACGCAGAGCTTCTCTCTGTTTGAGCTGGAGCCTAGTTCACCAGGGACTGTGGAGGACAGACACCTTTAGGAGCAGTTCATCAAATAAACTTCATGAGCGCGGCATCTATCGCAACAAAAAGCAAGTTAAGTCCAAGCTACGTGAAAGCCTGCGGCAGTGCAGAGACTGCCCCCATACCCCCTTTATACCACCATTGCGTAATTTTTTTGTAAAAAGAACACTATTCCTCAACACTTACTGCCACGGTTTGACAACTTATAAACAACCTAAGGCTCCCTGGTGTCGGCTCTGTGTTATGACAAATTGGCGGCACTGTTTCCCAAAAGAGGCTACTGAGAAAAGACCCCAAAAGCAGACCCCAACCTTATTGAAGGGATTAGATTTCCTCTCTGGGAATGCTGTGAAATCTCCGAGGAGAGGCCAGAGAGAGGGAGGTCTTGGTTTCCTCCTGGCTTAAACATCTCAGTGCAGCAAATCTTGTTGAATTTCTCAAATTTCCAGTCACTAAAGATCACTGTGGTTTTGGAAAAGAACATTATATTAAAGATATCTTTAAATGAATCCCAACTCCCCTGAGATTTTGTATAACCTAAACAACTCTTTATTTGTAAAACAGTATGGAAACAGCATCCACCAAGGAGTTTCTAAGTCCTTTTCACCCTCTAAACGGTCAGTCGTCACCAGTACCTAGAGCCTTCCAGTTTTGTTTCTGTCAGCCAGAAAGGACAACACCTTTGGGAGAGCTGGAGATTGATTAGAGCAAATCAAGACGGATTAGAGTCTGATATTCAGAGCAGGGCAAAATTAGGAATAAAAACAGGATGACTGTGAAACTAATCGGAAGATAATAACGTTTAAGGGCTAAATCGCAACACCAAAGTTAGTAAAACTGTTTTGATTGTCAATCTTTTCCGTTTTCACATAAAAACCACTTAAACCAAATTCCCAGTCCAGACCGAGCCACTCAGGTAACAATCAGAGGTGTGATATGTTTAAAAATTCATCTTAATCCAAATCTTAACCCCACACTGTACCATCTAGTAGACACATGCCTCCATAACTCCCACAATTCACCCCTCTCCCTACTCTCTACAGCACCTCTCAGGCCCTGTCCACACGTAGCCGGGGATCTGCCAAAACGTAGATATTTTTCTACGTTTTGGCCTGTCATCCACACAAAAACGGAGTTTTTTCACACGAAAATGGATCTTTTTAAAAACTCCGGCCAAAGTGAAGATCTGCGTTTTCTCCGTTTTGGGTGTCTGCGTGTGGACAGACAAAACCGGAGTTTTAAGGTCCGCAACGTCACTTTCCGCGTCAAAAAAAATGCTGACATCACGTGTGTGACCTGTGTTTACACTAGCCGACAGCATGGATGCACTCAGAGCTGCGCTCGCTTTATCAATCGTCCAAGCGCTTTTTGCTTGTTTGTTTTTGCAAGCGGAGTTACTGCTCCTTGCGGAAGACCACAGACGAAGGACGAGGTTAAGAACGGGGGAAGTACTGCCGCCTACAGGTCTGGCATGTCCTTAACAACGTATTTATCCGGTTACGTGTGGACAGTTTTTTTTAAATGAGGTGGTGTGGATGCATGTTTTCGGAGGGGCGGATATTCGTTTTTTTTTTTTTTTAATCCCGGCTACGTGTGGACTAGGCCTCAGTGTCCTCTGTCTGTGATTTGTTGGGTCCAGATTTAAGGGAAGATGTCACTCATGAATATTTCCAGGACAAATGTGGACCTAATGAAAGGCTTGTTTTTCCTATCACTGTTATAATATCTACAAGACAGAAAGCGCCTGTTGACTCACATAATCCTCAAAACCTGATAGCACTTCCTTATCAGGCCCATTCTATGCCATGTCCTCCCACAATTTATATGAAGGTGGCTTAATTAAATGTGAGAGTTCTTAGCCACAAGTAATTTTTAGTAAATGATCTTATCTCTTCTCATGATCTTGATTTTATGCTCTTGTCTGAAACTTGGTTCAATGACGGTAGCTGCGCACTTGTGTTTACAGAACAAACAACACCAAAGTTCCCATCCGTAAACGTGCTTCGATCTGGCAGGAGAGGTGGTGGTGTAGCTGCTATTTTTAGACTCGTTCCTATGTAAACAGCTAGTGTGTGGTGATTTTGACCCTTTTGAATATCTTTACTTTGAGACATGGCCAAGGTAAGAAAGGCTGAAAGACGACCACCACTGAACAAGACACACAAGCTGAAACGTCAAGACTGGGCCAAGAAATATCTCAAGACTGATGTTTCTAAGGTTTTATGGACTGATGAAATGAGAGTGAGTCTTGATGGGCCAGATGGATGGGCCCGTGGCTGGACTGGTAAAGGGCAGAGAGCTCCAGTCCGACTCAGACGTCAGCAAGGTGGAGGTGGAGTACTGGTTTGGGCTGGTATCATCAAAGATGAGCTTGTGGGGCCTTTTCAAGTTGAGGATGGAGTCATGCTCAACTCCCAGTCCTACTGCCAGTTTCTGGAAGACACCTTCTTCAAGCAGTGGTACAGGAAGAAGTCTGCATCCTTCAAGAAAAACATGATGTTCATGCAGGACAATGCTCCATCACACGCGTCCAAGTACTCCACAGCGTGGCTGGCAAGAAAGGGTATAAAAGAAGAAAAACTAATGACATGGCCTCCTTGTTCACCTGATCTGAACCCCATTGAGAACCTGTGGTCCATCATCAAATGTGAGATTTACAAGGAGGGAAATCAGTACACCTCTCTGAACAGTGTCTGGGAGGCTGTGGTTGCTGCTGCACGCGATGTTGATGATGAACAGATCAAAACACTGACACAATCCATGGATGGCAGGCTTTTGAGTGTCCTTGCAAAGAAAGGTGGCTAGATTGGTCGCTGATTTGTTTTTGAATGTCAGAAATGTATATTTGTGAATGTGGAGATGTTATATTGATTTCACTGGTAAAAATAAATAATTGAAATGGGTATATATTTGTTTTTTGTTAAGTTGCCTAATAATTATGCACAGTAATAGTCACCTGCACACACAGATATCCCCCTAAAATAGCTCAAACTAAAAACAAACTACAAACTACTTCCAAAAACATTCAGCTTTGATATTAATGAGTTGTTGGGTTCATTGAGAACATGGTGGTTGTTCAATAATAAAATTATTCCTCAAATACAACTTGCCTAATAATTCTGCACTCCCTGTAAGTGTAATGAATTTGCATCCATTCCTGTCAATCAACACCACCAGTCC